ATTCTTCAATGCAAATCATTTGGAATTCCAAATACCCTTTTAAAACCTTTGCAGGAAAATTCTAGCACTATGGAAGGCAGCCATGTTTTTGGATTTTTCCCCACAAAGAGCTCAAGATCCCCATCTACAGGCCTCAATAGTCATTGCACTGTGTTCCTTCAAGAAACGCACCACAATTTTGAAGTCAGATTTTGTTTGACAGCATGGAACTCCCCAAATGATTTAACTTGGCAATACTGATATGCCTAGCTATGGTAAAATAAAGCCTGTTTAATAAAAATGATGTTGGTAAAGGCTGGACAACAAACAATATGAGAACATATTCAGATAGAATTTCCTATTTGGCTTGCATAATGAAGGATTGTCTGGGGGCAGGAAAATCAATTTGGGATGATTGCACATCATTAAAGAAATGTTTTTTTGCCTATTAATTTAAATGGATTGAAAATCATCTGGGGTATATTGCATGTACAATTCATCCAGGCCTCTTTTCCACTATGATGTGCTCCCAGGAAATCCCTTACACCCAACTTTAATTGGAGAATAACTGGTTTCTGACCAATATATTAGGGTATCCGTGAGTCCATGGGTGAGATGCACTTAGAGATTTAGTGGCAAGCATAAGGTTTGCTGAAATCTTGCAGAGCTGATCCAGGAAGATCTCCCAAGATTGATTTTATTACATTTTCACAATGAGTTTCTGGCACAGAGAGGGCCTGGCTGTGGAAGCTTGCTGTGAGTGGAGGCAGGAAATAACACGTGGCCGCAGTCCTTAAATTTGCAGCTGCAATTGAAAGGAACTGCAGGCAGAATCTCTGTTCTTGAATACAAGTTTGGAGCACTCTTCCAAAAATGCAGCAAAATGATGCTTTAAATTTTATTAGATACCAGAATTTCTCAGATCCTTTTGGAAGGTTTGTTTCAAAGTTGTTACTGTTACAACAGAATAGAATAAAGTGGGCAATGCAGAGCCAAGAATATTTGTTTGAGTTTATTTCAGCAGCTCTCAGTACCCACCAACCCCCATCCCCAGTGTTCTTTGCAGGGTCAGTGGAGGTGGCCTAAGACAGTCCAGTTACAACTACAGCAATCAGACATGGAGCAGCTGCAGCTCCTGATAGAAATGGGGCTTTGTTTAAGCAGTTCTAATTCATAAACTACTGCAGTAGCTTTAACCCTTTGGCTTTGTCAGGTTCATATTCGTTTCCTCTCATTGACTCATTCATAATGAGTGCATTCAGGAAGGTGACAGCAAACCTTTAAGGGTATCAAGAGGTGTCATGCTATGTCACAGGGTTGAAAAATTTTATTTCAACTATATAAATAATAGCTTTCAAAATATATAATCACTAGACTGCATTAAGCCTTTAACTCATTGTTGACGTAACTGCACCAATTGTATTTTTTCAGGGGCTGCATGAGCAGTCTAATTAATGTTAAGGGTAGATATGCTGGGAACATTGGGCCTAGCTGCCATATTGTACTGTTTGCTGGTTAAGTCTATAGAGATAAAGGTAAAGTCACCATAATCCTTCTCAATTATAGGGCTGCTCTCTCTCCTTAAAGAGAAACGTCTGGTAGCAGTTTAACCTGAGGATTACCAAGTTTCAAGTGAGGGGAGAGGGTGAGAAGGACAGTCCTTCATGGTAACCTCGGCCATTGCAAAAATTCAACCAACAGTGTTGGTGTTACTCTGCCACACAAACCAGCCATTGAGCCAACTGAGGTGACCGACCCCCTCCTCCATGCCTTTACATGTACTTGGTGGGAACTTCCAGAGACATATTTTCTCTGTTGGAAGTGAAGCTGGGCAAAATTTCAGACTGCCATCTTGATATCTCGCCTACGTTGTTAGATGCCATGGGGTTTGCTGGTGTCAACTGCTACAACCTGGGCAGTGACATGAAGGTTGAGGCTGTAGTGATCCTGGGAGCCCCAGGCAATGCTGTTCAGGCATTGTCTCAAGGTTTCAGTTCTTTGCATTTCCGAAGAAGAGTAATTTGCGACTCATAACATTAACTTTGTTTCTCTCTCCTCAGATGTTGCCAGACCTGCTGAGTTTCTCCAGCGCTTTCAGAGCTGTTTTTATTTCAGTTCTCCAAAATCTGCAGCACTGTGCATTTAGAATTACTATCCCAAAGTTTCCTTTGTGCAGGTGTGATTGTTCATGGACATCTGATTCATTGAAGAAAATCCACCCGAGAGAGTGCTCCTCGTAGTAGTTGGAATAGAAGACAAGTTCACTGAAACAAAAACAGAATACTAAGGAGCACTAACGCGGGTGGATTTTCTTCAATGAATCAGATGTCCATGAACAATCACACC